GTGTGTGTGTGTTACTGTGTGTGTTACTGTGTGTGTTTGTTACTGTGTGTGTTACTGTGTGTGTTTGTTACTGTGTGTTACTGTGTGTGTTTGTTACTGTTTGTGTTACTGTGTGTGTTACTGTGTGTGTTTGTTACTGTGTGTGTTACTGTGTGTGTTTGTTACTGTTTGTGTTACTGTGTGTGTTACTGTGTGTGTTTGTTACTGTGTGTGTTACTGTGTGTGTTTGTTACTGTTTGTGTTACTGTGTGTGTTACTGTGTGTGTTTGTTACTGTGTGTGTTACTGTGTGTGTTTGTTACTGTTTGTGTTACTGTGTGTGTTACTGTGTGTGTTTGTTACTGTGTGTGTTACTGTGTGTGTTTGTTACTGTTTGTGTTACTGTGTGTGTTACTGTGTGTGTTTGTTACTGTGTGTGTTACTGTGTGTGTTTGTTACTGTTTGTGTTACTGTGTGTGTTACTGTGTGTGTTTGTTACTGTGTGTGTTACTGTGTGTGTTTGTTACTGTTTGTGTTACTGTGTGTGTTACTGTGTGTGTTTGTTACTGTTTGTGTTACTGTGTGTGTTTGTTGCAGGACCGTCAAGCTTTGGGATCTGGAAAAGTTCACCCTGATCGGCACATTAGAAGGAGACACGTCTGCAGTCAGGTAACGTTTGTTCGTATGACCCTGAGTGACCTCTGACCTCTGCCCTTTGACCTCTGACCTCTGTCCTCTGTCCTCTGTTCTCTAACCTCTGTCCTCTGACCTCTAACCTCTGCCCTTTGACCTCTGACCTTTGACCTCTGTCCTCTGTCCTCTGTCCTCTGACCTCTAACCTCTGCCCTCTGACCTCTGCCCTTTGACCTCTGACCTCTGTCCTCTGTCCTCTGTTCTCTAACCTCTGACCTCTAACCTCTGCCCTTTGACCTCTGACCTTTGACCTCTGTCCTCTAACCTCTGTCCTCTGACCTCTGTCCTCTGACCTCTGTCCTTTGTCCTCTGACCTCTGACCTCTGACCTCTCAGGTGTCTCCTCTTCAGTCCTGATGGCTCCTGCGTTTACAGCGGCTCCTCAGACTCCCTTCGTGTCTTTGGCTGGGAGCCTGACCGCTGTTTTGACGTGGTTCCAGTTGGTTGGGGGAACGTTTCAGACCTGGCTGTCTGTAACCAGCAGTTGGTGTGTAGCTCCGCCCCCTCTTGAGTTGACCCACTGAGCTGTTTGACAGCGCAGCAGTAAACTCCTCCTGCTGTTCCCGTCAGATCGGTGTGTCTCACCAGCTGTCCGTTGTCTCGTCGTACGTAGTCGACTTGAAGAGGGTGAAGAAAAGCGGCGACGCAGTGATCCAGGGTATAATCCAGGACAACAAGCCGCTCACAGAGCCCACGGAGCCCAGGACAGCGGCACTTCGTCGCAGCTACGACAGACCCTCCACCTCCTGCAGGTCACACAGTTTCAACTTTTAGTTTTACTTCTCAGTGTCTCCAGGAAGGTGCAGTGCTGCATTTACAACTGTTGACGCTTAATCTTGACCCAATATTCCTACAAAATGGACCAATCATCTCCTCCTGCCCAGTTTCACTTCCTGGAACCAAACTCAGGCTTAATCTAGAGCCAAAATAAATAATTTATTACAAAATATTATCATTAAAATCAGAGCAAGTCAGCTTCCTGATGTATCATAAGCTGGTAATGAAAACTGTTTTACGTCATGAGACAAAAACTGTTGCTTGAACACTTTTCTGTAAAACATGGAGAACGGCTGGAAATTAAGAGGTATTTTTAACAACATTACAAATCATGTGCCTTGTTTATTCAAAAACGTTATTTGGAGTTATTTTGTAAAATTATTTATTAATTTTATCATGTTATAGGTTGGAAAAAAATGGCCAAATGGACAAAAATTTTAAAAAAATCACAAAATAAATCTGTCAACTCTTAGAG